CATTAACTAGTTCGTTATATCTACCATAAATCATAGAATTCAGTCACTTTTCTAAGGCAACTGAACGCTATAGCTCGTTTCCGGGGGCCCCATCCTTTACGGCCTTTACAAAGATGGTCATTGCTGGGGCGTGCTGGGGTTGACGGTGACCCTTCGGCAATCAAACGTGGCTGGCTGAAAAAATCACTATAAATAGATGTGTTCATGGGAAAATCACTGAAAACTGGTTGGTGGTTTGGAACATGAATTTTATGACTTTCCATATATTGGGAATTTCATCATCCCAACTGACTTTCATATGTTTCAGAGGGTGGGTACACCACCAAACAGAAAATCATTTGTAAAATGTGGATTTTCGATTGCCAGGCTTGATTACTGGATGTCATATATGTTAATTTACATGACCTTGTAGCACCAGCAACCAAACTTTGCCAATGCAAGGCAAGTTGATGCGTGTCATCAACGTAAATGGCAACAAATAATATGCAAACAGGACAACATGCTATACCATACTATGGAAGAGATATCCATATTTGGTTGGGAGATCTTTTTTATGCAAAAAAAATGTAGATCTTTGGTGTACAATCCAGGCAATCCGGGCTGTGTTTTTCTGTGTTGAAAGGGCCCCACGCATTGACCGCGCGCAGGTTTGGTGAATCGTGTGATTCCCAGAGTCAAGCTCTACAGTGAGGCGCCGGCTTGGCGCAGCTGGTATAGCTGGTTTTTTTGGGTCAAAAACTTACTGGTACTTAGCAGGGAATGGATGGGAATGGGGGTTGCTGGGATGATTATTAATAGTTATTTTGGATCATTCCCTCATTCCCTGCGTAAAACGCACCAGTAAGAAAAGCTTGCCAAGATCCAAGAAAGTTCAGGGCGTGGTAAATGTTCCATGATTGAAATATCATCACCTTTCAGGTTGCAGCTAGTGATTCCCCTTTTTCCCCACAATGGTTTGCTCATTCGTGGGTCGGTGCTGAATAGGACCGGTTTCACTCGAACGCTCTTGTCCAACATATAACTTGACAATAAAGCACAGGCTAGTTCCACCCATCTTTGTTCTAAGTTGTAACCATAACTGGTAATGCTCCATCCACTTAGTCATTGAAATATACGAATAGTCCAACTGCTGCCTTGTTCACTCAAACTGTGGCAAAAATGTCATATGAATGTAATTGTAACATCCAATTGTGTCGTCAGCCAATAAACGATTTAACATTGGATAGGTATCAATCAATCTCCATTTATTAACTATTTTTACCCCAAAATTTGTACATCATAATACCCCATCATACCCCTCGGTATCTCATAATTTACACGAAAATGGCCACAGTACGTAGCCCATGATTTGTACCATCCTGGTATTGATACATATCATATAAATTCAAGTATATGTCTATCATGGTGAAATATGGAGCAGTGATGACCACAACAATAACAACAAGAATGATACCAATCATATTATGTACAAGATGGTGCCCCCCAGTTATGTTTGTTGGTTGTATGTGTATATATATATATTAAGTACCTCTTTATTTACAGGAATATAGCATATAACAATAATAATTCGTGTCAAAAGACTAGTTAGAACGATAAGAATAAGACAAAGTAGCAATAATATTATGTGTTTTCTGTCTTCACCGTTCTTGTATTATTATATTTACTAATGTTAACTATATATATATCATAATAAAGATGATAATGACAATAATGACTATTATATGTCTATATCTATATATGGTAGTTTATCTATATATATATGAATATGTTGTTATTAAGTATATTGCTAGCATTAATGATAGGATATTCATCACAATCAATCATATGGCTTAGTATAGTTAATGATAGCATCCAACTATGTTATTGGATATATTGAAGAGTATTAAGATATGATATCTATATCTATATATATATACATATATACAGCATCACCATTATAGTTGATGCTATTAATACTATATGATAGAATAAAATACATTAATAGTATGACTACTACAGTTACAATATCACTATAGTTATGTATATTTATATATATATAGTAATACCACTATATGTTATAGATATGTAGAAAACTATATGTTACATATATAATATTATATATATACCATTGCAGTCAATATCTTTTTCGCAGTATCCCCGCGAGGCCCGGCGCTTGGCCGAGAAGTTGGCTTCCGCCGATCCTGTGCAAATCCAGCGAGGCGGAGCAGCGGCGGAAACGAAGAAACGAAGAGTTCGCGAACTGGAAGCCATGGCCTATTTATACGGAAAATTGCCTATTTATAGTTGATTTACCCATAAAAAATGATGATTTACTTATGAAAAACATGGTGATTTACCCATTAAAAATGGTTGTGTTGCCAGTTCGTTATGCAAACGTTTACCAGAGGGTATATCAAATTATGGTGATTTGCCCAGCTACAAAATGGTGATAATGGCCTACTTATAATGGCATATAGTTTATTAAACATAGTGATTTTCTCCGTCGTTTTTTGTACCAGGTATGTTGGAAGTTGGATGTGTAGATTTCATGGTTGAAAAAGTGGAGTCCATTTGAAAATGGTGGATGTTGGCTGTAGAAAATGTCTAAACTGCGAAGTGTTTCTTCACGGCGGCAGTACAACATGAGATGGAAGACATGTTTGAAGCATTCCGTGGCGCTAGAAGAATCACCCATGAATCGGCGTTTTTTGGCACTCTCCTAGGATCAATGCCATTCCATTTGGAACCAGTATGGTCCCCACAGATTCTTGAAAAGCCTATCATTCTTCGGAGATCTACACATATTATCTCTATGGCTACAACTGTGGCAGTAAGTCCCATCAGTTGGGATATACCCTCCGGTAGTCACATGATTTGCTGGTAAATGCCCCAGCAATAGTTTGATGATTTTTCCCAGCTAAGTAAACCTCCCCCAATGTTTTGATTAATTACCGGATGGTAACCAGTGAAACTGTGGCTATATCTCCGCTTCTGTAGAGCACCCCAAGATTGTGGCGCACCTCTTGGCGGTAGACAGCAAGTGAGAAGTTCTTTGCAATTTGGGAGCGGTTGCATAGAGGTGTGCAAAGATTTATTGATTTATTGCAGTTTTGTTTACTCATGTTATTCATTGATTTACTTGTTATTCAATTATGTGTTTTAATGTTTGCTATTTTGCTTGCTTCCATCGATTCAGAGATATAGATATAGATACAGGCGTAAGTATAGGTACAGATGTAAATAAATATATCGACATACCATTAAGGTTGGAGAATTGTCCCATTTGTGCTGGTAAAATCTGCATGTTTTGCTGGTTAAATCCAATAAAATCGATTTCTTGGCAGTCACGTTCCCATATTATAAAACCAATTACTCACAGAATTTCGATGTATTGGATGGTAAATCCCCAAAAGTCCTACTTCGTGCTGCTGTTTTACCACCAGGGGTCTTGTTGCTGTCAGATGTTTAGCCCTTTTATCCATGACGGCGGGTGGTATCTCCATAAAAATTCCCCCCATTTTTCCCAGGGAAAGAAGTCCTCTACCAGCAGATCTCCAAGCCCAACCTGGCGGAGAAATATCAAGCGGCTGAGCCCGCAATGTCACCTGGCCCTATGGAGCAAGCGGTGCTGAATCCAAAGGCTGGGGTCACCCAATGGTTTTTCTGGTGGTTAATCATGGTCAATTATGGTTAATTATGGGGATATATCTATACTTACCACCTGGTAAACGTTTACAGTTTGCTGTTGAAGCCATTGCGACTTCGTTGATTTACCCATTAATGGTGGATCTTTCGCTTTTTGTAAACGTTTACCAGATGGTCGTTGGGTTGTGTAAACCATCCCCAAATGGTCGGTTTATGATTGAATTGACCCTGCCGGAATCCAAAGATGGCAACTCCGTAGGAAAATCATCAAACAAGGTGGGGCATTGACCAGCAAGCCATGTGACTACCGGAGAAAATGTGATTAGTCGGCTCATTTACCAAGTTCTGGATATGTCAATGTGCTCCATTTGAATCGAAAAAGGAAACCTTTCTTGTTTTTGGGGGACCCCATCTTACAATGGGGAAAAAATAATATATTAACCATTAATATATTAACCAACCATTGATCAACCATTTTGATATATACCAAGACTAAGCAACAAGACTTGGTTACTTTGAACCAACCATGGAGATATTTCGATCCAGTGGATTTGATTGGAAATGGATGATTTTTTCGGTGACAGCATCATGGGTGATTTGTTGCTGCCAATAAAGTGGCGATTAAACCCAACATAAATTGGCTGGTGACATCATGAAAATTCCCCCGGTTTTTCTTTGGCGATTTTTTGGGGCTTCCTGGTTTTCGAAAGCATGGTTCTCCTGCAAAAAACAAGCAATTTATCTTAGTACGATCGGATGTGTAAACATCATTGGTGCAACCAAGAATATGCAATTGGCAAAAACTATTGGTGATATTTGAGTTGCCATATATATATATACAATAATATACACATATCTTATACACTTTCATCGGCTATACATTTCACGTATTTGGAGAATATGTTGTGTATGTTATTTGCCATTCAAAGTATAAAGTATTTTTATGATTGAGAATTAATTTCGCCGTTGCTGGTTTTACATGGTAATATCGCCTTCAAGAGCAAAGTTTTCAAAGGGGCTGGGGATATACAATTATGACACTATGATTAGAACATTATTTGGTTGTTATATTGGGTTGTTATAATCTCATATTTGTTCTACTTCTTGTATATCCGTTATGGATACTGTGTAATGATACGATCCATTATGGATCATTGTTGGTGTTTTCGCCATTACCACAACCGCTATATTACCATTACAATGGGGATATTTTCTCCAAGACCGCTTCTTGGCCTCGCAAGAAGGTCCGTCGTAGTCGGGATCTCATCCAATAAATTCATCCATACCATGGCCGCAGCAACGCCTCGGCCTCTCCGAGGCTGGAGATGTTTGCTACTCCTGCCAGTCAAGAGATGGTCCGGAAGTTCAAACGCTGACTTCGCGACGTTCGGTCGCGAGGCGGCGATTCACCGATGGGTTGAAAAACCCTGGGATTTGCGGTGATCATTGGTGAAATTGTGATCATTATGGGAAAGTTATGGTATATGTCATATATATATATATATCACCAATAGTAATGGGAATGTAAATATGTATGTATATATATATATACGTATATAGCACAAAAAATCATTGGATCATGCATTTGGTATGTTTTGCGCGTATGTACTTGCAACCCTGGAATATACGTGCGTTTTCGAATTGGTGTTTTTGGAAAATGTCACCACCTAAAACAACGTGGTACACCCAAGGAGTTGGCATGATTTTGGATCTGTTTTTCATCGTGGTCAAAAATCATCCAATCTGCACCCAACGCCACATTGGTGTGTTGTTTTTCTCATTTTTGTTTGGAAGTAGCAGAGTCTTGGACATGTTGAGGATGGAAACCTATCATCGACGGTGTCTCCCGAGGACCAAGGATACTTGCGCAAGGTATTTGAATCCAATAAACAGATATAAACAGTCACTACAATCAATATAAGTATCCATTATAGACAACAATATATACAAATATGTATTATATGTATATATATATATACATGTGTGTATATTGCATAATATACAATAGGTATACATGTAATCACACCCATCAGTGCCATCGAGGCTTCTCCGCCACGACATCACTGGACGTTGCCGAAAAAAAATCCGCCGCGCGTTGGGTCGAAACGGTGATGCGAAGAGATGTGAATGGAAAATCGACCATTCAAAAATGTTGGGATATAACCTCAGTAACTGTACTTGGTGCTTCATTCCACTTAATGTGGGTAAAACAATCATGAACCACCCATTTGGGAATGATTTAAAATATTCATTTGTGGTGATTTGGCGGATGGTTTTTGTTTACCCACACATTAATGGGGATTTTTGCCGGGAATCATTATCATCATGATTACTAGAATGATGATGTAATGAATTATGGCTTTGGAAACTGGGTTTAAAGAGTATATTATAGAGATATTTCATGGGAAATTGGGATTTAGAACCGATTGATCTTATTTTGAAGTATACTTTGCCCTTAATCTAAGATAGCTATGGAAAATTCCACGTTTGTAGATTGTTTTTCTATTAAGAATGTGTGTTTTCCATAGTTAATATGGTGATGGAATGAGGATTTTTCATAGAGATGTCATGGACATACAGATATCATGGGACAAAGAGCTAACAATATGATAGTGGGGTTATTTGGTTTGTCCGGAAATGGGAGAAGAGGGAACTGGGTCCACTGGGTCCAGAAACCGATGAGATTGATGGGATTTTGGGGTGCATCAGACAAAGCCATAGCTGATTTAGGATTATCAATGCTGAATGAATGATGTTTTTCTACCCATAAATATTGCTGATCTCAAGACTTTTTGAAAAGAAGGTCTCAATACTTTTTGAATACAGATTTGGAAAACTTTTCCACAGCATTTTCTTCAAACAGATGGTTCAAATCTGTTCGAAGAAAATGCTGTGGATGCTGTGCTGGCCGGCTCATGGCGAAGCGGCGAAGCTGATGTCCCCCTTGTCCCGGGCTCATGGCAAGTTCTGTTGAAAACATCAACAAGCCCACCAGTCACTAGATAGTTACATGAAAGGGTATACCGGTATACTCCAGTTTTATATCTGTTTTTTTGAAAAAGGATCCTAAATTGGGACAATTAGAGATGATGTTCCCTGTCCAAAAATGTCTGTCACAGAACCAAGTCACACAATGATTCTGTCGAGTTTGCCCTGCAGAAGCCCCAGTTATTCAAAACTACAGTTTCATTTAAGATATGGTGGTTGTCTTCATGAAACAGCAATGTTTTTTGGGTGGAAAATGATGAAATCAACCACTGGATTTGGGTGTTTTCCTTGACAACAGGAGGGATTCACCAGGCGCGTTTCCAAAGGTCCCCTGTTATCAGTTGCTAAAAAAACCTATCTATAAACCATATCCACCATAAATTCTAGATTGCTGAAAAAATCCATCGACTTACCCATCGTTTTTATCACCCATCAATCCCAATGCGTGTTTTCTCGAAAAAATCCCTGGATTTTGGCAGCTCACAGCGTCTCCCCAAAAACGTCCAGGACGCATGGAACCTGCGTCAAACGGTGCGGCGGTCGAGCAGTTGCATCTCGGTGATTTTGGCGAGTAACTCCTCGCTGGGAAATGGTGATTTTTTCTGGAGGATGATGGATGACTGTTGTCCGGAAATGTTTGAACCTTTGAAAATGCTGAACATGATGGTTAATAATGTCGTTAAGACAATGCCATAAACGCACCATCCCCAAGCAAGTCATCACCATTTTTATAGGTGGTATGTGACTACCATTCCCAGGAAAATGGGTGGTTTATGACATTGTTTTAACCACATGAATTGCGAATGGCTGCCAATGCTCAAGAATGGTCAATGGTGGCAAAACCATGAACATTTACCGGCCCAGGAGAATGGGTTTGTGGTTACTGCCGAGGGACCCCTACAAGAAAGGACACAGTGACCCGCTCATGCTTTCAGTGCTTTCAAGGCTTGAAAGGTGCTATCTATCTAACTAATATATACTAATATCATCTAACTAATATCTATCTAACTAATATCTAACTAATATCTATCTAATATGATCCTATCATGTACCTTTTTGAGGGAAACTAAGATGAATATATTCAATCCTCTAAGGTTTCCACAATGGAGGTGTTACCAGCCCCGCTTTTATCATCCCGCTAGAATCAAATCAAAAGAGTGCTAATAAATCATCAGTAATTAGTGCATTTTATCCCATTGGTTAATTATTGTCACTGCTACTTGGACAAAAAAATCAGGGTGTTCATATATTATTCCATTGTCAATCAAGATCAATCACCTATGAATCTCCCATAAATCCCTATCCTCCAGTGTCATCAGCTCCGTGGCTTGTTGGAAAATCCACCATGAATACTTCGATGATTTTCCCGAACTAAACCTCCATGAATAGTTTGGTCATTTCCCAGCTATGTTTGATGACACCGGAGGGTCATTGATCATTTACCATCCCTGCTGGAGTTACCGGAGGGCCGACAAAACTGCGACTGTTTTGACGACCGTGTTCTGCTGTGTCCCCCAGGGCCCCTCGTAAATACGAGTGCTTTTACATGTGTTTGCACAAAAAAAAATTATTATAGGTTGTGTCTTGCTCCTTTTCGCCCTACAGCCAAAAACGACAACATCGACACATTTGCAAGGTGAAAAGAACCTGGTATTTGCGGTGTTTTTAGCAAACCACTACAGGACCAGGATGGTGCCCCCCCCCAGTTATAAGTTAGTTTATAACCCCATCATACCCCATCTAAATATAATTTATCATAAGTATCATACACTATTGTTATTATATATTTGCTTGGTGGTTTGGAACATTTTTCCATTCAGTTGGGAATTTCATCATCCCAACTGACTTTTATATTTTTCAGATGGGTTGGTATACCACCAACCAGATGGTCATTAATGGTGATTACCCTCTAGTAATTTAACATACCTATAGAAAATGGCCATAGAAATAGTTGGTTTACCCATTAAAAATGGTGATTTATTGGCACCAACTGAACGCGATTCCGAACTGCGACCCCCTCCCAAAACGTGGTGAAGTTTTTGACGAAGAAATAGGAGAAACTCACAGGCCCGGCGACAGGACCACCGGTGCTCGCAGATGTGGCACATTGAAAGGAACAGCCGCTGGTAGTTTTTGATATAGTAAAACCTCATACGGAGAAGAAAACATCGTGTATATATATATACACCGATAAATATGTGTATGTATACATATATATATATATGATATATATATATATGTAATGATATAGATAGATATGCGTGTGTGTGTGTTATATTTTGGTCATGAACCACTTGCTGACTGGGATACACCCCAAGTACCCCATGTCGCATTTCGACAAGCCTCGCTGCCCGAGGCTCATCAGTGCCATGTAGGTGGGACATGGAACCGGAAGTTCTGCTTGGGCTCTGTGAATCTTTGATTAATCAGAATAACCATACTTGGTGTCTCATCCCACGAATCGTAAGTGGGTTATAACCCTGGTTGTTTCTATGGAATAAGTAAGCTTCGTCCACTCACTGGGGTGAACTAATCCACTTACGATTCGTGGGATGAACCACCAAGTAGGATACCTTGATATACCTCTGGTTTTTGTCGTGGTTTAGAAAGTCGTGTTCCCCATTAAAAATGGCTAGGTTGGGGGTATACCCCAATTTTGGACACACCCTTGTGTCAGAAGAAGACTACTCATATGTTGATTTTTGGTGTTGGATTATATTCTATAAATCTATAATATGTTATTAGGATTCAATGAGATACAAATCAGGAATTCACCCCGATATTGCCGTTCTAGGGTGGAAAATGATGTTCTAATAGATGTTGTAGTCCCCAACTTGGAAACAAAGCCATGCATCAGAAAAGCAAAAACTGATGCTTCTGGAGGACTTCCAGAAGACATCGCATCGCCATGTTTTCGGCAAGTGTGCACGTTGTGCAACTTCACTTGTTTGAGAATCCACCATTTGTACAATACCAATGAAAAATGTGCAAGTGTCCCACCAGCTCTGATTACCGGCAGTCGATTTTTTTGAATCCAAGCTGGTTGATACCGAAGGGATGATAAACCACTAGATGTGTTTCCGCACAAAGCAATATTGCAATATATTGCAATATTCATCTGGGTGTGGTTTGGAACATGGCTTTTATTTTTCCATTCAGTTGGGAATTTCATCATCCCACCTGACGATTCGTCCATCATTTTTCAGAGGGGTAGGTTGAAACCACCAACCAGTCATATTGTACCCATAAACCTCCTTTTTTTGTGCTATACCCCCGTTGGCTCTTTCCCTGCGACCACAGCCCAGCTTCTGACAATCCATCCAGTGACCGGATTAGCCATCGAGATATTCCCTTTGGTTTGTGCAAAAATAGGGGCCTCAGCTCAAAA